TTTAGATTTTGAAAAAAAAAATCTTAAAATTAGACCTTAAAATAACTTTATTTAATTTTAATACCATATTGATTTATAGAGAAAAAAATATATACTTTATTTTTTCACCATTTATGTTGTTACATTGGAGTATTTATAGAATTCCTAATTTATTGATAAGAAAATTCTTATTTTACTATAATTCTAATAACATGAGATCACTATTTTAAAAGAACTCTAAATACATCATTTTAACTAATTAAATAATAAAATATTACAATCAACAGGAAGATTGATATTCTTGTACCCCAACATGGTGACTAGATCCTCAGCTTCCCTGGAATTCCCCAGTTGAACTAATTTTGACTTTGGCATGTTAATATCGAGACCAAAAACAGCTTGGAAGCTCAACATAATACATTTTAAATTGAGAATGTCTCTAATGTTCAGCTTACAAAATAATAGTGTTTCAATGAAAAATAAATGTGCAAGCTCCACCTCCTCCCCTGTCTTCCCTACCTTCACTCCCTAAAGAGATGAAGTTCCCTTGCCTTCATTAATAATTTGTTAAAAGCCTCCATAACCATAAAAAAAGAACAAGGACAAGGGATTACCATGTCCCAACCTCTAGAAAGCCTCGAAAAACTTAGATAGTCCTCCATTAACCAAGAGAGTAAAACAAGAGGTCTCTTTGCATGATTTCATCCAAGTTCTCTGCTTGAATTCGAACCCTAACCTTCTCATCATGTAAAACAAAAAGCTCCAAGATACATGGTCATATGGCTTGTCTATGTCAAGTTTACATAAAAATCCTCATACTCCCTTTTTCAACACATTACCTACAACATCATTTGCTGTAAGACACCATCTAGAATCCGTCTAACTCCCACAAAGGCATGTTAACACTGCCCCACCATACTCCCAACCACCCTAGCCAATCTTGTTGCCAAGACTTTGGCCACAATTTTGTAGACCCCACTGACTAGGCTAACAAGCCTCAAGCTCATGATAATAGAAGCATCATGAACCTTCAAGATGAACACCAATAAAGTAGAGTTTAGGCTTTT